CGTCTTCACCTCCCCGAACTCTGTAGTGAAGGTGCTGGGTCTCTTCTCCACTTGCACTCAAGCCTTCGTGGGCTTGTCCGAGCTCATCTCTAAATATCATCCAAGTTCCCAGATGCGCCCCTGAAGCCAGGCGCCCCATCCTGGGCTCCTGACTTTAGGTGCCCTGGCCTGCTCCACGTGGCTACTGGATATCTAACAGGCATTTGAATGGAACACATTCCATGTCTGCTCTGCCCACAGCTGCCTTCAGCTTGGGGAGAGGAAACCTCACCATTCCCCTTACTGAGGCGGCCTGATGACCATGCTTGGTTCCTCTTTCCCTGGCATCCCATCTCGGACCCACAACATAGCCCACGGCACAGCTTCACTTCTCGGCACCTCCACGGCTCCCCCTTGGTCCGAGATACCCTCACTTCTTGTCTGCATTATTGAAATGGGTCCCCAGCTTCCCCCTATTTCGAACATAATAGCTAGCCACAATGATCTTTTAAAATAGAAATTAGATCATGCCATTGTTCTGCTCAAACCCTTCCAGGGTAGGGGACCCATCTCACGGTAAAAACCCAAAGGAAACCCTGCAAACCCTGATGCCCCCCTCCATATTTTCTCTAACCCCATCTCCTGCTACTCACACCCCATCACTCCACTTCAGCCAACAAGGCACTCCTTGCTGTTCCTCCTGCACACCAAACATGCACTGACCTCAGGACCTTTGCACTTGTTCCCCAGCCTGGAATTTTCTTCTCCCAGTGATGTGCAGAGCTCCCTCCTTCCCTAACTTTGGATCTCTGTTCAAATGTCACCTTAGCCATGAGGCCTTCCATGACCACCTTCCATAAACTATTATTTATAATAGATGATTGAGAGAGAGAGAGAGAGAACAAATCCCCCCCCCCGCTCTAGCACTTCCCATGCCCCTTACCCTGCTTTGTTTTTCTTTACAGCATTTATCACAAACTGTCATGTTATTTATTTATTTGTTTATTGTCTGTCCCCCATTAGACTTGCAAGGGCAAGACTCTACCCATTTCTTTTCATTGTGCCTAGAACGGCGCAGAGTGGAAACTCACAAATGCCTACGGAATGAATGACTTCCATGACTTCAGACACAGGCCCGTATGCACACAGGAATCACGTAGGCCTACGAGGTGGTGAGAGTACACAGATCAGAGGAGCTGAGGCTGGAGAGTGGAGAGGGTAAAACCAACATTTATTGTGCTTGACGTTTAATCCCATGGGATGAAACAACCGTGCAGTAGGTTGAGACCTGTGGCCCGAGAAAGCCACCAACATGCTCATGATCTCCTGGGAAGGCCTGGCAGATCCCACGGCAGGCCGGAGTCTCCCCAGCAGCCTCCCCTGAAGGACTGAAGGCCAGGATGGGGTCCTGCGGTTACACCGCTCAGAAAATGCAGCTGGAGCAGGAAAAGGAGAAAGGGAGGGAGAGAGGAGGCTGAACTGTCTGCAGAAGGCCTGGCAGGGCCAGGCAGAGCTGTGGATTGGCAGGTGACCAGCAAGCCTGGCCAACAGGTCTGAGAGAGGCCCCGTGGGCGGTGGGACGGCCTGGGGAGGAGGGAGAGGCAGGACTAGGAGGCCCTGCCCCTCAACCCATCCTGTGGGACCAGCCAAGTGGGATGCAGCCACCCGGGTCCTGCCAAGCGTGGCCCCTGGCACTGGGCTGCACCACTGAGAGGGGTGACTTTTCTTTTTCCTTCAAAGGTGCCCCGCACCCAGCGGAATCTGAGCCTGGGTTCCACACCACACTCGGCCACCAAGCATCCTATGCAACTTTGGACAACATTCTGGATTTCATTTTGCCCCTCTCGAAAGTGGGATTCAACCTCTGGCCTTTGCCCCAGGCAGTCCTTCCACAGAGAGCTCCTTCTCCTCCCCCATACCCCAAATCCCGCATGTCCAAATCCTTCTTTCACTTTGACTTCAAGAACCACCTTCTCTACAATGCAGTCCATCCGCTGTGCCCCACTGTGCTGTGCTTGGCTCTCCTGTGTTTAAGGACATTCATCATGAAATCCCCTTACGGCCAGAGACCATTTCGGTCTCCTGTGGGTTTTGCCTCCTTAAATTCCTCCAAGCACTTCTCTGCACACACAGAATATAATGCAAACTGCTTTCCCTCTCCCAGTCTGGCCTGATCTGGCCTGCGTCCCTCAGTCCTGAGTCATCTTCAGCCACGCTCTTCTTCTGCACAAGCCACAGTGGCCTTCTTGTTCTTCTGCAGCTTATTACAGCCTCTGGACCTTTGCATGTGCTATTCTCTCTGCATGGAACCATTTTGTGCCAAGCTCCTTCTCATCTTTCCAAATCAGCCAAATGTCACCTCCTCCGACAGGCCCTCCTTGATAGCACATCTATAATAAGACACCCACTCCAGCCTTTCCATCATTCTCTTCCTCCCCCTTTCCTGTTTTATATTCCTTCTCATCACTTATCGCCCCCAGAAATTATATGGTAGATTTCTTTCCCTTATAACTAGAAGCTCAACCCTGTGAGGACCAGGATTTTTTGTTTCTTGCTTTGTTCCCAGTGCCCAGTGCAGGCGCTGGCATCAGGGAGATGTGGTAAATATTTGTTGAATGAGTAAATGACTAACCAGGAGAAATGCATCTTTGTCCTGATATATAACTGAGGAACTGATTGTATCTTGCTGTCTGGAAAGTATGTTGAAGGAATGAATGAACGCATGCATTTCTGTCTCCCCACTTGTAGTAGATGCTAATGTTTGATGAATGAATGAATGACAGAATCTTTGAAAAGGGCGTGTAAAGAAAGAAAAGGAAGGAGGGAGAGAGAAGGAAAGAGCAGTAACGGGGTGCCTGCAAACACTGGGGAGCGCCCCTTGTTCCCACCTCCTGCTCTCCCCAGACGTGGTCGCAGCCTCCTCCCATGCCCACCCTCCCGCCAGCCCCTCCCCTCTGCATCCCTGCAGGGCTGTGATGGGTCCTGGAACTGCCTGATGGAGTCAGGGGAACAGTTCCTGCCGAGCCCGCAGGGAAGTCATAAGCTCCAGGAAATGAAGGCTGCGGAGCGATGCCTCCTCCTCACCCATAACTCCAGCCTCATTACAACCGGCCCAGGCTGTAACGTGGAGAATCAAAGCCGGATCCCCAGAGGCGGCATATCTCCAGGATCGCAGAGCAGGGCCACCAGGGGAGGGGGGTACCTCATCCCTTGGCTCTGCCTTCATGCCTAGGCCCCACAGAGTGGGTGCGGAAGGGGTGAGATGGGGCGCTGGGGATGCTCACACCAGTGTCATGTGCCCTCCTGGCCTCCATTTGTTCAGGGTGCCGCCATCAGGGAAAGAGGGAACACCATAGTGCCATGTTCCGGACTCCTCCCTCCTCTCTTCCCTAGGGTCTGTGAGGTTTTCTCCTTCTCACTGCCCTGAGATACTGCTTTAACCTCATCACCATCCCCCCTTCCAACAGATGACTCCCTACTCTGAACCCCTTTCTAAGGAAGTTCCTTTGCCCATGTGGGGAAGGAACACTGGGGAATCAAACATCTGCAGAACCGGTATAAAAAACCAGTCTCACAGTTGCTATGACTGACACAACTTCGTTAAAGGCAGGAGAGCTGCCCGCGGTACTGCTGGATCACATTTCTTCTGCCCCAAAGATTCTGGCCGCCTCTTTATTCTGCCAGAGGACCTGGTCCATCCTCTGCCTAGCCACACACCCCATGTTTGCAACTGAACTCCCCCAACCAGCCAAATGCCCTCTAGGCAGCCTGCACACTCCTTGGCCATGATGCCCATCCCTTTCTTCCCAACCACTCAGAAGCCCCCTCCTCCAAGAAGCAACCCAGATTCCCTTCCACCCACCATCCCCTTCCAGACACCGGTGCCCACTCTCTTCCCCGAGTCCTTCTTAGAGCTCTGCTCACACGCCACCCTGCACTTATGTTGCCCACCCCGCTAAACTGGAAGCTTACTTGTCTCTGTCCTAGCCTCCAGCCCAAACCTGGCCGAGCCAATGCTCAGTGGAATTGAGTCGTTGAACTGAGCTGAACTGGGCTTGGGGAGAAGAGTGGGGATTGAGCCCCTCACCTCCACTCACTCTTGTCAGTGCCTAAAATCCCTCCATTAAAGCAGCATTGCTGTCCCCTGTAAACACCCACATTAAGCCATTATTCATCATTATGGCTTGAGTAGGAGTTAGTCCCTCAGATCCTTTCTTGCTGAAAGCAGGATCTGATGGAGGTGAGGGAAGGAGAGATGGATTGATCTGGGGACAACAGTGCTGGTCCAGGAAGGGGGAGCAGTGTCTCTCAGATGCTATAAAAGGAAGGTTTTCTGAGGGAATGTGGAGACATCGTGGCAAGCTCAGAGGGGTTGTGGTCCTGCCCAAAGTCACTCAGGGAACCTCCACACAAGGACTCCTGGGATTCAGGTCCCCCACCGTTGAAGGGGCCCATGCAGGCACTAGCAAGAGAACAGAGGGCCTTCCCTGGGCTTCTGTTTTGAGTGGAATGACCTCTCACCTGCTTTGAGGAGGTGTGAATGTGGGTGGCAGGCTGGGTGCAGGATTCTGTGCACCCAGGAGACCTGGGTCCTGGGGGCCCTTGAAGACCCCTTCTAGAAGGGCCTGCTCCCTGTCTGGGGTGGGGGATTTCCAGGGGGTGGGCTGGGGTAAACAGATTGCCAGCCAGGGTCAGGGGAAGCAGCTGGGAAGGTCCCTGCTCCCGTGGGCTTGAGGGCTGGTGGAGGACCCTGGAGAAGGACCTGGGCGAGGGGTCATAAGAAAGTCGGGGGAGGCTGGGGGAGGACAGGTGTGTGATGGGAGTTGAAAGGAAGCATCCAGGGCTGGAGTGGGGGGGTAGGTGGGGGAGGGGCAGAACTACTAGACCGGAGGCCCAAGAAGGTGGGGGACCCCTAAGGATAACAACAGGTGTTTAACTGACGCCTAAACGTCGAGAGGTCCACTCAACCTGCCCTGCCCCCACAAGGCGCCTCCTCTGATGTTCTCTTGTTTCTCTCGCAGGCTCCGGGCCGGGTCGGGACCGCCCCTAGCCCTCCAGGGATCTGCCGGGCCCCTACCAGCACCCCTCTGCGCGGGGACCATGGCGCACACCGGCCTCGGGAGCCGCGGAGGCGCCGCCTGGTGATCCGACCAAGGCGGCAGCGAGGGGGGCGCGGGCGGGGACCCCGGGGGCGGTCCATGCCCCGGGTGCGGCCGCGCCCCCTCCCCCTGCAGCCGGGCGCCCCAACCGCTGGGCGGCGCGCAGGGCGGCGGGCCTGTCCGGGTGCCCCGTCGGGGGCGGCGCCCAGGCGGCCGCGCTGAAGCCACCATGTGACGTGGTGCCGCTCCGTCGTGCCACCGAGCGGCGACGCCCCGGTGCCTCCCGTCCAGGCTCCTGGGCCCCGGCCCGGTGCAGGCCAAGCATGAGGCCGCGGCCCGACGGTCGGGGGCTCCGGGCGGGAGCCGCGCTGTCACCCGCGCTGCTGCTGCTGCTGCTGCTGCCGCCGCCGCCACCGCTGCCGGGACGCCTGTGGGCGGCGGGCACACCCGCGCCGGCGGCACCCGGGGCTCGGCAGGACGGCGCGCCGAGCGCCGGGCGCGTGAAGCGCGGCTGGGTGTGGAACCAGTTCTTCGTGGTGGAGGAGTACACGGGCACCGAGCCCCTGTACGTGGGCAAGGTAAAGTGGGCCCCCGCACCCGCTGCCCCGCGCCCAGGACCCCGGAGACGCTAGGGACCCGGTTCCCCCAAGTCCCAGTCCCCGGTCCCTCCTCCCAGCCCGCTCCCGGCTTGGGGCAGACAGCAGGGTGGCGCGCTCTGCTCGCCCCTCCCTGTCCCAAGCCCTCCTCCTATCCCCCTCCTCTGTGCATCTCAGAGCAGAGCAGAGAGAGCTAGTAGGTAAACCCAGGCCGTCTTACAGCTGGATGCATCTAGAATGTAGAAACAAGTTTGCAAATCTGATCATGTCACATAAATACTGTCTCCGCTTTGCTTAGACTTCTTCAGTAGCTTCCCATGCACTTGGGGTCAAGTCCAAATTTCACCCGGTTGCCTACAAAGATCTGGGTCCCCTGTAGCCTTACCTCCTGGCACACTCCTCTGAGTTTCAGGCCCAGGGCCCTTCTGACGGTCTTCACAGTGCCCTGCTCCTGCCACTGCCCCTTCCCTTTGTCTGGGTTATTTCCTCCCCCTGAACAGGTCAGTCCTGCTCCTGCTTCTGCTGATTAATCTATACTGACACTCAGGTCTCCACTCAAATGCCACATGTCCAGAGAGGCTGGCCTGACCACACCAGGCTTAGATCCCCTGGATATGGCCATCCATCCTTGTCACATGCCTTCCAACGTCCCCATAGCTTTCCTTCGTAACACTTAATTATGCATGTGTGTGTTTGATTATGCAGTTAATGTATATATTTCCTACCAGACCGTGTTTGTTTTCCTCACTGTCAAATCCAGCACTCAGCACACATATTGTTCATAAACTGTTCATATTGAATGAATGAATGAATGAATGAATGAATGAAAGCTACTTTCTCAAACTGAGTAAATGATGGTAAATGAGGCTAAGCATCTGTGCCTTAGGAGTATGTGAAGCTGGGAAAGATTTTTGTTCAGCCATTCAATTCCCAGCCCCTCATGGGTGCGATGCCAGAAAGGCAGAGGCAAATAAGATCCAGCTTCTGCCATCTGGGGGCTCCCCAGAGTAGCAGAGAGCTTTGATACATGATTCACAGGTGGGCACCTAGCACTGAGCAGACATTCAGTAAATGGTATCTGTTGGCTGGCTTCATGGAGGAGAACACACGTGAGCAGGGTTTTGATGTATGAATAGGAGCTCATGGGGCTGATGAGAAAAAGGGCATACATAGCCCGTGCAAAGACTTGGAGGCCTGAGGGAGCCTGACTGAGTCAGAGACTTGTCAGCAGTTGAGGTACTGAGGTGGAGGGTGCTGGAACTCTCTGATTTCTGCCCGTCAGCCTTCCAGGAAGTTTTGGTCAGCAGAGATGGGTCAGGGGACCAACTCTGGAGTTTCCTGTGTGCTTAATGGGTCTGAGAATTGGAAGTTTGATCAACCTTCTCAGGTCAAAGGCTCAGGGATCAGGGAGGGGAGGAAGGGTTTGATGTAAATCTCCTGGTTTGTTTTGTAGGAAACCTAGATTTTCTCTGGTCTAGACACAGTAATCCCTGGTCCTTGGCTACCTTCCCCTCCATCCATGTCCTTGCTCAAGGTCACCTGGCAAACTAGTGGCAGAGCCAAGGCTCCTGACTTCCAGCCAGGGCAGTGAGATAGTGGGGCTGGCAGAAGGGGGTGAGGGGTTGGGGAAGGAGGGACCAAGTCTGGCCAGGCCGCAGCTGATGGTGAGGAGACTAAGAATGCAGTCTTGGGGGCCAGATGTACCTGAACTTAAGGCCTGTCTCTGCCAACCCAGACTGTATTACCTTGAACTAGTTACGTTACCTCCTGAATCTGTCTCTTCATCTGTAATGGGGGGGCTAAGAGAGCCCATTTCCTAGGGTTGCTGAAAGGATTAAGGAGAAAGACAGCATATATGGTGTTCAGACCGCAGTCGGGTTAGTTGTTCTTCATTGTTTTCTCGTTATTCTCATATGAAGTATTTAGTCCTTAAATGGCAAGGTAGAAATCATCATTCCCTTTTGGAGCAAGGAAACCAAGACTGAGAAAGGGCAAAGTCCTAAAGGGGACAAGCAACTTGGCCAAGGCTTGAACCTGTGTGTGTGTCAGAGGCCAGTCCCAGTCTGATTCTCCCAACGTCTCCGAGACGTCGGGCCTGAAAGGTGGACTTGAGTCCAGGAAATCCCCAGAGAGGCAGGGAAAGACATCTGCCCAAATGTCAGCTTGGTGCTGTCAGGCACCTGAGCTCTGTCGTCTGCCCAGCAGTTGGGGCTCCCAGGCCTCCCCACCCCCCATGTCCTGAAACCAGGAGAATCCACTGCTGACTCAGCACTTTGCCTGTAGCTTGCTGGCCCTTGGCATCTCAACAGCCTAGGGGGAACCCTACCCCATCTCCAGGAACCAGAGTCGGTGGCCTTAGGAAGTCCTTTCATTATAACACCAGGAAACTGAGGCCAGAGGCAGAGAACATCAGACCAAAGTCTCCCAGCAACACGGTGACAGAACCAACCCTAGAGACTAGATTTCTGGACACCAGCTTGGGGCCCAGGGCAATGTGAGTGCCCTTGACCATGAGCCAAGCATTGTGCCAGGCCCGGGTGTCTTTCTTCTCCTTGGGGCAACCTCTCCTAACATCCTCATGGCTGCCATGACCATGTTATCCCCCTCTTCCATCATCTTCACCCAGAGCCCCCCTCCCTTCTTCCCAGAGCGCACCTCTGCAGGGAAGAAAGAGAATTTTCCGTCTCTTTGCAAACATGTGCCCAGAGCATACTGCTTTCAGAAAGGTCGTATATAGTATGTGGTTCGAGGGGGACAGTTGGAGCCAGAGCTGCTAGGGGCTCAGATCCCAGCTCTGCCCCTTATTATCTCTCTGATTTGGAGCACTTTACTGAACCTCTCTGAACCTCAGGTTCCTTATCTGTTGTTGAGTGAGGCCTTTACTAGCCCGTCCTCAAAGGGTTGTGGTGAGGAATTACTGAGCTGGTATAGGTCAAGAGCCAAGAAGAGCGAGCGCCTGGCACCTGGCTTGTGCTGGATGTTAGCTTTTGTAATTATAGGTCTTGCCTGCTATTTCCACCAGCTTGAGCCTCCCAGCTACACAGACACTCCCAACCCCTTACCCAAACCCTGGAAGCCTTCTGGGCAACCCATGTCCCAGGATTCTCCACCCCAAGTGGTGGGGGGCGGGGCGGGGAGAGGTGGTCGCTTAGCCCACCCCTCACTCAGTATGCAATTGGAATATGAGGAATACGGGTTTGCACTTTTAAAAACCACCTGTCCCCTTGCAAGCCAGGCCCCACCTTTGTGCAGGCGATTGTATGTGCAGACACACACACACACACACACACACACACACACACTCTTACCACACTCTCTCGCTCTTTGGGGGAAAGGCCTTCTCCACTGTTTCAGTGAATTCGCTGCTTCCCGGTCCCCCGCCCCAGGGAGCCACTCGGAGCATCCGTCCTTGTCGAATTCCAAAGGTAGCTTAGCAACAACACCATCCGCAGAGTGAACCCCAGGCACCCAACGGTAACCTATTTTACACACGCCTTCTCCATCACTCACCGCCACGCTCCTGTCGGCACCCGCAGGAACCGCTGGGGTCCATGGTTGTCACCGAGGCCCCAACACCCACGGCTCCCTCCCTAGTCCTGCCCCGTGGGCAGCCTGGCCACTTCTTCCCCTCACCTGCCCCCAATACCCACCCTCCAAGCAGCCTCCCAGATTTCCATACATTCTGGGTACTTTGACTAATCCCTTTTCCGAACCGTAATTTCCCCAGAGGCTTCTGTCAGCTGGATGTGGATTTTGTAAGATTTTTAATTTTTTTTCTAAAAAGATAGAATTATGGGGTCAGCACTTATGACCAACTCCTGTGGGCGGTGAGATCTATTTTAGATATACAGCAGGATTAAAGTGGGGAGGAGAGATTTAATTAAGTTGCTAATATTTAAAGAAAATTGATGAACTCCTGGTTTACGAGTAGCACAGACGTGAGCAGACCCCTCATTCCGGGGGGAGGCTTTTTATTTGATTTGCTTTCCGTTTAAATCCTGGACTCATTTTATTTGCGTAGCTGCGCTGTCCGCTTAATTGTCTTTAATAAGGAAAACGTACTTCTGCTCGCATTTAATTTTGATTTAATTAGGAGGAAGTAATTAATGGCCTCGTAAATCCCATTTTTCAGCTCCCCCCGGGATGAGAAGCCATCACTCTTGTGTTTTTCCCATTGTTTATGATCTGGACCTTGGGCCTGGGGAGGGGGCTCTCCTCTGGGGCTGTCCACCCTTGATGGCCGTGGAAAGAACCCAGGATGTGGACTCAGGCTTCAGGGTTTCCTCTTGCTGGCTGTGTGACTTTAGAGGAGATATAGGCCCTCTCTGATCCTCAGCTTGCCAACCTGTGCAGTAGGGAGGAAATAAACTCTGATTCACAAGATCTTAATGAGACATCAATGAGGTCACAGTCAACGGTCTAGAAGTGTGTCTGATGACTCTTCTCTGTAGTCTAGCTCATGTGTACCTGGGATTTGGCAGTGACTGGATCCTCCAGAAATCCCAGAAGGCAGGTGGGGCATTTTAGTGACTGTTGTATATTTCGTTCTTCATTTATTTGATATGTTTGGCCCCATGCCTTGTGCTGGGTACTGGGTAGAAGGAAATAAACAGCCGTACACTTGGTCCTCAAGGAGCTTACATCTCACACTCCCACATGCATGTACCCTTACACACACACACACACACACACTCACTCAACTCTCTCATTTCCCCTGTATTTTCTCTGTAGGCCTACTCAGGACACCTATGTGTGCAAAGCATGGGGTTTCAGAAGGTGTGAATCAAAGTTAGTCCACACCCCTGAGGCCCAGGACAGCTAGGGAGACAGATTTGCAACACTGAGTGTTACGGGGGAGTGTGGAGCAGAAGGGAGTGTGCGTGGGGCAGGATGAAGGCTCTTCAACCAAGTGGGTTGCGGCACCTAAGAGGACTGCCTGAAGGAGGAAACAAGCCCAGTTTAAAAGGGAAGAAGGTACTAGATGATGCCCCTGTCTCTCCAGTGGGTCAGGATTTCAGCCTACGGTCTTGTGTCAGACATTGGGGAATGAAGTGCGTGACCCTCAGTCCCTCCTGAGCCCAGGGTGGGAAAAGGAGAGGGAACTGGTCTGCACGAACACCTATTTCATGCCAGGAGCTTCCACACGTTATCTTAGGAATCGTCGGAACATGTGGGAGCCATAGCGTGTCCTTTACAGATGAGAAGACTGAGGCTCAGGGCCATACCACAGGCCAGTGGCAGAGCCTGAGCTGGCGCCCAGCTCTTACCGATCCCCAAGCCCATCGTCTGTCTCGATATGTGATTTGCAGTCCTTTTCCAAATGATGAAGTAGAGGCCCAGGTAGAAGAGGCCGCCTGTGACTGTGGCCGGTATAAGGCAAAAGGTGTGTCCAGCCCTCTCCCCCAGCCAGACTGAGAGATCTGCAGAGGCTGCAGAAGGACAGACTGCACTGTGGAGTCAAACAGACTTGGGCCCAGCTCAGTATCCTCACCTGGGAAAGGCCAATACATGGACGGGCTCTCCAATGTTGAATTAGATTTCTGCAGAGGCCCGCCACACACCTGGCCCATGGTCGGCGCTCCATAAGCAAGAGTGCTGTCCTCCAGCCTCCCCTCACAGCTGAGAGTCTTGGGAAATGTTCTTCTGGGGGTAGAGACACAGGCATACCCTCTTCTCTCTCGAGCCAGGACCCACGTGCGCAGGGCAGGCAGCCACAGCCCAGCCCAGACCCACAGCTCTGAACTCTTAGCTCCTGCCCCCTTGCCCCCACCCGTTCCACTCTGTCTGACTCTGCAGTCCCCAGAGAGTGGCCATTGGGCCACCGCGTGAGCGCTATGTCATCCTTCACAGGAGAAGCACAATGGTGACATCACCGCTGGGTTCCACTCCCTCCTCCCCACCCCTCCCGCGTGAGTGTCCATCCTTGTCCAGGGTCTGAGTTCACATGTAAGAAAGGTCTGCCGGGACATGATAGAGACCCAGGGGGCAGAAAGGGAAGGCAACAATGGTCTACCTCGGGTTCAGGTCATTACAAACATGCTCTCATTGAATCCTCACCGCACCTGTGCTAGGGAGGGCTCGATCTGATTTCTCAAGGGGGAAAACAGAGAGGAAAAATGATCACAACATCAGCGAGTCATGGGATCAGGAGATTGGCTTCCTGAACTCAGCTGTGTGACACAACTGGTGACTTCCCCTCTCTGCATTTCCGTTTTCTCACCTGAGAAATGGGAAGAATAATGTTTCATAGGGCAGAAATGAAAACGGCTAAGGTTATCGCTCTTAAGCGTCCCCCCACGTGGTGTCTATCCCACTGCACCGCGGTGTTTGCTGACTCCGTAAGCACACGCCGAGTCTGATTGGAAAGTGGGTGGAGGTGCTGGAAGAGGGAACAAGTGTACCCTCTCCTATTCCCACGTCCCCTGGGCCAAGGTGGAGGGAAAGCATAAACAGCAAACAGGAGAGACAGGTCTCCTCATCCCCAGCACTGCCAATGATTCAGGGCTGACGTCCTGAGATAATTTTATTGGGGGCATTAAACTGAGTTATGAGGTTTTTACAATACAGCCACTTATGAGAAATCTATTAACAGTAACTGGACAGGAAGAAGGCTTCTCAGTGGAGCCCAGAACGGGCATTAATTGGGGCAATCTATAACAGGACGGGGACCCGGGAAGGTTCCACCAGACGCCTCCATTTACTCCCCGCAATTTCTGCTGAGAATCAGCAGACTCGCCAAAAAGAGAGAGATGCCCATTAATCGGCTAATGAAATATGAAAATGTTTATGGGCCATTCAATCTTCCAAATGGCACTTCTATAATCCACCTTTCAGACACAGAGTTCCACCAGCAGAATTTATACCCGGGCTCCTCCTGCGTGGCAAGGGGTGGGATTTCATCCCCCTTCGTGACGACTTCATTGGCACCTGTTGTCCTGCTGTGTGGGCTGGGGTACGTGGTATCCTGGCCTGAAAGGGGCTTTAGGGATTCTGTCACTCACGTTACATCTCTGCGGAAGCTTAGAGTGGAGCAGGGACCCACCCAAGGTCACCCGCTTCATCGGACACTTTTCCCTCTGCTTGGAATTGCCTCGGAAATCTGGGAATCGGAGAATTGCGACCTAGGTGTTTCTGTTTGGGATAACCCTCTTGCTACTGCTTCCTTGCCTAAGAGATCTCAGTTCAGTGAAAACAGCCTGGGATTTGGAGCCTGGTGGTGCCTGGATTAAATCCCAGTTATATATGGCTAACATTTAGTAAATAATATAACAGTAACGATAGCTACCATTTATTGGATGCTTATAATGTCTCAGGCAGGGCTGATTTTCAGCTAGTACATACCAGTGTTCTTGTGCTGGTCGTGAACATAGTGACATAGCCCCCCCCCATAGTAAATGGTCTCCCTCCTCTCCCTCCTCCCCCAGTTCCCTCAGCTCCCCCGACCTCTCCGTGACCCAGTAGCCAGAGGGTCCTGCCTGGCCCAGCTAGGGTCCTGCGGCGGTAAGACCCTGTGGCAGTGCCCCTGCTGGCCTGACTGGTGAATTTCGTTTGTCCCATGGTGTCAGGGAGGTACTAGTGACTTCTGTAGATTTTAAACCTTTTTTTCGAAAACTCTGAATAGATAAGTATGTGAATCACTTAGCACGGACCCAGGCACAGAGTAGGGGCTCCTATGATGTGCATCCCCTTTCGTCCTCGCTCCCTTCACTCCCTGCCCGCTCCGTGTGCCAGGCTCAGAGTCTGGGCAGGTGGGGCTGGACCCATAATTCCCAGTGGGGTCAGAGACAGCCGTTTGGAAGCTTGTTAGAAATGCAAACTCCGAGGGCCTGCCCCAGACCCACTGACCGTCCTCTCTGCCTCCCCAGATCCACTCGGACTCCGACGAGGGTGACGGGGCCATCAAGTACACCATCTCAGGTGAGGGAGCTGGGACCATCTTCCTGATCGATGAGCTGACGGGAGACATCCACGCCATGGAGCGCCTGGACCGTGAGCAGAAAACTTTCTACACGCTGCGGGCTCAGGCCCGGGATCGTGCCACCAACCGCCTGCTGGAACCGGAGTCGGAGTTCATCATCAAGGTGCAGGACATCAACGACAGTGAGCCCCGCTTCCTGCATGGCCCCTACATTGGAAGTGTGGCTGAGCTCTCACCTACAGGTAGGCAGCGGACCCTGGGGGTGCTGGGCAGAGTCAGGGGCTGGGGCTAGGGGAGCTGCCAGGTTCTGAGTGGGAGCCTGTTATGGGGACTGGCTGATCATCTGGGGAGAAGCAGGAGAGACTGGAAGTGCTGCCCCAGGCAGGGGATACAGGCACAAGTCCAGGAGCCCACACGGGCTCAAGCAGAGTGATGACACGGTCACAGCTGCACACCCAGACTAAGACACACACAAGACCCCAGCCATGTACATGGACACTGACCCCACATGACTTGGACTGCGAGTGGCCAGAGCAACATGCTTGGCCACGGTCACTCCCACAGGCCCAGCCCCACTTCCAGGCTCAGCAGCTCCCCTGTATGCGGCCTTGGCCAGAGTTCAGCTCCACGCTGACCTTGCACAGCCCTTGGCCACAGTCCCACACAGGGGCAGGCACAACTGAACACGGGCACACCTACACCTGGAAAGAACCAGAGTGGGACACAGCTAGAACGAGGCCTGGGCACACAACCTCAGACACAGCCTCACACCCGACAGAGCCGCCTCAAAGCCCCTCAGGAAACAGCACCTCACCTGGAGCTTGTGCACAGAAACGACCACCTACATAGCCATAGGCTAAAGCCACGAACAGAGGTGACCCACCTGGGGCTAGGCTCTAGCGGATAGTAGCCACAACGGGGAGGGGCACAGCGACAGGAGCAACAGCATCCAGACAACTTCGTTTCCTGCCCACGGGAGACCCCAACACCAACCTAGGTCCCAAGACCTAGCCACTTGGGAACACAGGTTCACAGAGACGGCTGAGCCCCAGACGCAGGTCAGCAGCACGTAGCTGGGTATGGCCGCTAGAGTGCAGGGGCGCCGGGAACGCGCCATGGCATGGATAGATCAGGAGCCCACACACCAGAACCCCTGCGTGTGAGAAGACCGCAGGAGAGGCCACACTCTGAAGCTCACCGCCACACAGCAGCAGGACGCTGAAGCGAGAAGTTGGATGACTATACTGGCTCCCATGGTAGGGCCCACTGAGGCCGGGACTCCCAGGAGAAGCCGGAGTCACAGGCAAGGGGCTCAGCCATCTTCTGCAGGAGGTTACCCCAGGCACCTGCATGCCAGGCTGGGCGGAGAGCAGTGGTCCTCAGTCCTCGACACCTCATTCCATCCCTGACGTACTGTGGTCGAGGGCTCAGGGCTGCCCCTCTCTGGGCCTTCCAGTCCTACTAGGGCATGTCAGAGGCAGGGGGTGTCTGAGCTCAGAGAGGGTGCGGGCAGCCCCCGCTTCCCCAGATTGGGCTAAATCTGACAGATTGGTGGGTAGAGAGCCAGCAGCCAGGGATAGAGAGGAAGAAGTGGACCAGAGATACGGGTGGGCACAGAAGGACAGTGGGAGGCCAGGGAACAGTGAGGGCGGGGATGCGGGTGCGGGCTGGTGCACACACATGCACAGGTGTGCACGTGTGCCTGGTGTGCGTATGCATTCACACACGTGTGTGCATGCACATGGCTAGGCAAAAGGCACTTTATGGCCTGTGTGTGCATACGGCATACTATGTGTCTGAGTGTATCCATTTATTTATTCTACAAAGGTACGGGAGGACCTACTATGTGTTGGGCACTGGGAACATGCCGTTGAAGAGACAGACAAGCTTCCCTCTCATGGAGGGTAACTTCTGGCTGAGAAAGGCAGTCAGTAAGCGAGTAAACAAACAAGAGCGTTGGGCTGGAGGGCTTCTCTGAGGAGTTGACTGTGAAACAGAGACCTCAAGAAAGGAAAGGGTGGGCCCTGGGGTAAGAGCATTCCAGGCAGAGGGAACAGTACCTACAAAGGCTCCGAGGAGAAGTGGAGAGATGATCAGATTGGACAGCCCCGGGGAGCCTAGTCAGGGATTTGTCTTTTATGCTGAGCAAGCTGGGCAGTCAGCAAAGAGGCTTGTTCAGAAGAATGACATGGTCTGACTTAGTTTTAAAAGGACCTCACTCTGTTCTGTGAAGATCGGGTGGTGATGGGATTGGGGTGTGGGGCAAGGACAAAAGCAGAGGAGCATATTGTAATTACCTAGGTGGGAAATGATGGTGGCTTGGAACAAGGTGGGATCAGTAAGGGTAGTGAGAGGAGGTCGACTTTGGGATATATTTTAAAAGTAGAGCTGAAAGCATTTGCTAATGGATGGGATGTGGGGTGTGAGAGAAAGACAATTCAGGGATGACTACTGAGGTGTTGACCTGGACAATTAAATAGATGGGATTTCCATTTGCTGAGATGGAAGGAGCAGCGGGAGAAGCAGATCTGGGGGATGGAGGGAAATCAGGAGTTTGGTTTCAGTTGTGCTAAAGTTGGAAGTACTTACTAGACAGCCAAGTGGACATCTTGCAAAAGGCACTTCAATATACGGGTTCAGTGGAGAGATCATTGAAAGTTGTCGGTAGCAAAGACCCATGGACTTTCAGAGCCTAGTGATTACTTAGAAATCAATTTTGCAAATGGGGGAAACTGAGGCTCAGAGGAGCAGTGATGTGTCCAGGATCACACAGCAAGTCAGAGGCATTAAAGCCCCTGATGTCCCCCCATCCAGCAGCCCCTACTCACTGACTCAAACCCTGGCCCTGTGTCTCTTCATCCCAAATGAATCCACATGGAAAAGACCAGAAAAGTGACACAAGGTGAGGTTGGAGAAGGAAGCAAGAGCCATACCCAAAGGACTTGATGGAAGCACAGAACCTGGGAAAGGCTAAAGCAAGGGAGCCAATCAAGTGCAAAGGTCCTGAGGTGCATTTAGAAAGCTCTCTCTGCTACGGTTTGGAGAACAGGTGGGGATAGGGGACTCCAGAGGGAGGCATCGGCCAGGTACTTGACCATCATTTCACTCCCACTTCAACTCTGAGAGGTGACGGGACTGATGGTGGCATCTCCATCGAACAAATGGGAACACGGAGGCTCAGAGGGGAGAAAATATGTCCACCATTACATAGCAAGTCAGTGACTGAGCAAGTCAAGTCTTGGTTCCTAGACTGTCAGAGTGGCAGGAGTCCTTGCATCACACTGGGGTAACTGAGGCCAAGAGAAAGGCAAGGACACTTTCAAGGTCACCCAGCTTGTAGGAGGCAGAACCAGTCCCTGGATTCATGAATATCAATCAGCCTGAGGAGTTCCTGCCCTGCCTCCCATTCCCCTCCCAGCTCACTGACTCTGACATTCAGCTCAGGAAAGAGTCAGGCATTGGATTCAACTCGGACAAGCCAAGGAAGCCAGGAGGAGAAGGGAGGAAGCAGAAATTAAATTAGTTTATTTCATTTAAGCAACTTTTTGAAGAGGAAGCAAATCTGACACTGGGGTGCTTGTGGAGACTCCAGGCAGCTTTGAAAATCAGTCACAATTACTGAGCCTCCTGATCTGGGCTGAGGAGGGCGGGGCGGACAAGCGGCACCAGGGTCTGGGCAGCTTCGGAGATCAGAGGGAGCAGGGACACAGCTTGGGACATGAAAGGCAGCAGGGCTCGAAAATTAAACCACTCACAGCTTAAAAAGGAAGGGAAGTGTGCCGGGGGCCTCCGATGAGCCACGCTTCTGAGGAGGGGCACACCAGCCACGCTGAGCCTAACACAGCGAAGCAGGTCCTACAGCTGACCGTCAGGAAACCTGGCTCCCTACACGACCTTGGGCGAGTCCCTGCCTCTCTCTGGGCACCAGTTTCCCTTCGAAACATTGAAGAGGTTCATTCATGCAATAGATGTTTACTGAGGGTCTACTCTGTGCCAGGCACTGTTCCAGGCACTGGAGGTTCTTAGGAAGCCTCCGTACAGGGCAGGGAGACAGACAGGAATGAAATATAAACAAGCCAATATATTATAGGCCCTTATATAACAGGTCTAAGTGCTGTGAAACCTAGGGAATTTTTGCATTATACTGGGGGAGTGCTATTTTAGATAGAGGAGTCAGGAAGGGCCTTTCTTTACAAAAGAGCATATTTGAACAAAGATCTGAAGGAACCAAGGAGCTATGTGAAACTGGTTTTCATACTTGACTGTGCATCCACATTACTTGGAGGGCTTGCTAAAATACAGATTGATGCCCTTTCCCCCCAGGGTTTCTGATTCATCAGGTCTGGTTATTAGAAATGTTTGCATTTTTTAATTAATTCCATGGTGATTCTGCTATTGCTGGCTCAGGGACCACACTTGGAGAATCACTAAGCTGGAGGAAGAATATACAGGCAGAAGAAACAGCAAGTGCAAAGGTCCTGAGGCATAGTGTGTTTGTCATGAGGGGTCAGTGTGGGTGAAGAGAGAAGTAAGTGATGTGGGGAGAGAGTCCAATGAGATTGAAAGAGATACTGGAAACTGGATCACGTAGGACACGGTAGCCATTGAAAGGATTTCGGTTGTACTCTGAGTGAGATACAGAGTCAATGAGTGATGTGATCCAACTTACACTTTTAAAGGCTGACTCGTTGGCCACCATGTTGAAAATGAATTATAAGGGGACAAGGTTGGAAGTAGGGAGATCAGTGAGGAGGCAGCTGCAATTGTGTGGGCAAAAGGTGATGTTGACTCAGACCCGCATAGGAGGTGAGAAGGTATGGGATTCTGGATGTATGTTGAAGGTAGAGCCAACTGGGCTTGTGAGGGACTGGATATGAGGAGTGAGAGAGAGACAAAGCAAGGATGATGTTGACAAGTGTGTCCTGAGCAATTGGATGGAACGAGCTGCTGAGATGGGGAATGCTCCAGAAAGAGCAAGATTACAGCACAAAATTAAGACTCTCGGGTATGTTAAGACTGAGACATCTACTAGAAATCTGGGTGGAGTTGTCAAGGGGACAGTTGGGTCTCTGAGTCTGGAGGTCAGGAGCACAATCAGGGTCAGAGATACAATTTTGAAAGTCATCAGCAGAGAGAAGGAATTTTAAGCTTAAGGCTGGATGAAACCAACAAGAAAGTGCGTTTTGAGAGAAAAGAGTTAGACTAGATAATTTCGTAATGTTGGGGGCACCAGACCCCTTCC